GGCAAACGTGAAGAAAAATGGTAAGGAAGTCAGGTACCGCGGGGATAAACGTATTTGATGGCCAATTAGCTGGTGAATTGTTTATGTTTTGAGCTGGTACTTTTATCAGAGTACGCGGGTACTTATGAGATACCTGAGTAGAGAAACATTGCATCTCGTGAAATAAATGAGTGCCTGAGTAGCTTGTAAAATAGTATGAATGGCTGCTAGGGCTATTACTATTCGATGGGTATTGGTTCATATTTTTCTATGACATAATAAAAATGAAATAAGTAATTTAAAAATTGAACGTGACGAGTCGTCAAGTAGTAGTGTTCTAGTAGATAGTTATAAGACTTTATGACTATGGTGCTTGGGTACCTGAAAACTCAAACACTCAGAAAGTCTTACATGTAAAACTTATTAAAGCTATTGCTAGATCTACCTGTCAGGTACTCTGATTGTAAGGGTATTTAATTAAGTATCAACAAAATCTTCAAATATGTTTCACTTAGGTACTTTACCTGTTACCCTAATATTCAGGCAATTCATTTTTCTATGAAACAATAACAATAAAACAATTATTTAAAAACAGAACTCGACGTGTCGAATAGTTCTAGTACCAAATTACCAAACCTTACAAGATATCTGAGTACCCGCGAGTACCATAAGGTCTCATAATTGGCTACTAGAGCTATGACTACCCGTCCTGCCGGGTACTCAGACCCTCAAAAGGATATTTAACCCCTTGACGTACTATTTACTTTCTCTACTAAGCTCGTGTAATATGTTGCTATCGGCAATTTAGAAGAAAAGCAGCAAAATTTTCCATTCTACTTCAAATGGAAATTTCATTTAAAGATAATATGTTGATAATAGCGAAATAGTTACTTGCTTTGATCCGTGGGTAATAAACAACACTGACTGTTGTCAAATTAGTCTAGAAATCTTCATCACGAGTCTCAATCGTCATTGTACAAGGGGTTAATCAGGTGCACAAAAAATCAAGTAAAAATTTTACTCAGGTATTCAGGTACTCGGTTGTGTTCTAAGATAACCTGGTGATTCTACTCTAACCAAGTATCTCGGGGGTAACGCGGGTACTTGTGCATTTCATAAGTCACAGCTGTAACCGAAGCGCCGCGTCGCGGATTGGCGTGGCCGCGCCACGCCTGTTCCACGTTTGATCTCGTCGCGAAAATATTATTCTCTCCTAGCGGAGACTCGCTGTATCGATCGCGCCAATCCGGCTCTCCATCATCCGGACCGCGAGAAATTAAGGGAGGGTTATCATGGCGAGCGATCGCGGAACACGCCTCTAAATTAAATCTATCGCTGGAACCGTCGACCGGTGAAAGGCGAAAAACCGGGGCTTTTACGACGCAGCATTCAGAATTTTGAAAAACTGCGCGCGTCTGACGCGAGAGGAAACAGGGATTGTCTGTGAACGTTTCGCGTGTCGAATCGCGCAGACTTGCTACATAGTCGGGAATGTATATTCAACTTGTGAGAAATTATGTTTCGCGGAGTTTTAACTTCCTGGTGCAGGAGTTCCGCGATATATTGAATGTTGCAATTTGAAAAAGTTACGTAAGATACATCAGAAGGTGCAACATTGTTTTGTCAGTTGATGTTCTTGTTTTAATTTGATGAAATAAATTCTTTACCCATTTCAGCGTACGTATAATGAAATTTTTATTTATGATGTATGTATAGAATGATATTTTGAAGTAAACTTTTTGTTTAATTCTTTATGCGATAGGTAAATTTTATTTTCCTACGTTTTTTATTGACATTGGAATAAACTTCGCGTGAAGTGAAATTTTATTTATGATAGGTAAAATGGTAAATATTATTGATTTGAAGGATTGTAAGTAGTATGGATACAAAAATGATTCCAAACTGTTCATATCAAACGTACAAAATATTGAGTTAAATTATTCAACGTCAAAGAAACCGTCATAGTCGATTTTCCCCTATCACGAGACTCAATGAATTCACGGCACAGACGATTTCTAGACTGGAGCTATTACTATGCGACTCGTTAAGTACCTGAGTACCCGGAAAATACCCGGAAGAACGAGAAATATCAGAATATAATTTACCTCGGTTCCTTGTGCGTCTTATTTTCCGAGTGCTTAGAATATTCCGAGCGATTACCATCTTTGTATCAGATAATCAAACATAGTTTAGTAATTAATAAAAACTTTTCTAGCATTAACTCCGTAGCCAGACACGCAGAGTACCCTAATGGATAGTAGCTGCGCTAATCTGTACAATAAATCGTTAACCTTCCGTATAATTTCCTTCGTGATTACGCTCGACTGATTTATTTCATTACTAATAATCTGCTAGAAAGCAAAGAAACTGTCTGTTCATTGTAACTGCATATTTATGTACTTTGAAAATAAAACACTGATAATAGGAACTTGCGTACAACGAGTAACATTAATTTTTTATCTTTAATAAAAACATTTTATGAACCAATGAATTAACACTGATCTGTATTAATATTTAATCAATCGACACTAATTGTGATTAATTAATTGAGTTAGAAATATTCATAGAAAATCTTACTTGTCATTATATGTAACAACTTATGTAATTCGATCTAACTTCATCGTGAACGTCTGATTTAAAGTAAATGTCACCAGTCAGATTGCTAAACCGTTCAAAACCAACGAATACATTGTACGTCGTCAAGTCTTAAGATGAACAGTGTCTGACCCGTTTCCCCCATACGATCGACCCACTTTTTCGCCAAGCAGCTTGATTGTCATCTAATTGCAGGACCTTGTTCCGCGCGACCACGAAAGAAGAATCACAATATCAACGGTGGTCCCGGATCGCTGAGTTCACGATGCCCCCTCTGGCGATCCCCAGTTACCCTCGTACCCAAGTAACCCGCTATTCATCGTTCTTTTTCACCTGTCCTGATTGTTTGTTTCGGAACGAAGGTACTCGTGTTAGCTTATTGTTTCCTCGATTTCGTTGAACTTTATTACATTCGATAGTGAAATAATAAACAACTATGGCATATTTAATTTCCTTCAACTTTATTACTGACAATACTAATTGTAAGAAATTTATACTGCTTTGACAATGACAATTTTAGCCCTCTGTTCTATGACATACTTAATTTCTTTGAACTTTATTACTGACAATACTAATTGTAAGAAATTTATACTATTTTGACAATGACTAGTTTAGCCCCTTGTCCTATGACATCCTCGATTTCTTTAAACTTCATAAATATATCGGAGAAAATCAATTTTAGAAAATTAGTCCTATCTTGGCAATGCCAACTTTATCTCCTTGTCTCAAGATTTCTCCAATTTCACTGATTCTATTACAATAAGACACATACTCTCTTTTTATAATTCCAGCTATACACTTTCCAAGCAATCCTCATATTACTAAATTACCTCAAAGTTTCAGCACATTCATCTCTAATTATCTCCCCCAAATTTCCACATTTGAATCCCCTATTCCTATCACCCCACAAAGCTCACCTCAGCCAGCACCCCAATTCCAAATCCAACGCAATCAACCGCGATCCTCTAAGTGTCCTCTACTTTCCTCCATGTGCGTGTTCGGCCTATTAATCGGGACGGTTCACTTTCCCGGTCGCGGCTCGTAGACTCCGATCAGTCCGTAGGTAACAGGATCTTCGCGAAACGTTTCCTAGACGAGGCAAGATTTCGCGTGCGCCACGCGATTCACAGCTACCGGTCGGCTAAGCTAACTGGCTGGCTGACCAACCGACCGACAGACGGATATACAAACATAAGTACAGACAGACGAACAGAGAGACAGACCGACCGACCGCTTGTCTATCCGAGTTTTTCTTGTCACCTGCTCTCTCGTAGCATCCGCTGCACGATGATGATGTTCGCCGTCCGCGGGCCTGGCTCGGTGGCCCGTCTCGCGGCGTGAAACGCGAAACGAGGCGCCACACCGACCGCACTTCACCGACACCAGAGACCGTTTCGAGCACGACACCCGGTAGTGGTCGAGTGGTCGCTCACCTAGAAACCGTTCACGCGATCGCCGCACCGACAGATCTGTTTACGCGCCTCGTTTGGCCGACTTGGCTACGGCGACGATCCGAGAGAACCAACCGAGCATCTGACGACGCGCCGCCGCCCGCTCGACCGATTTTAGCTCCGTTCCACCGCGCAGCCACCTTCTTCCGGGCACCGGTCCCGGTTCCTGATTTTTCACCGCACCCAGGCGCCTCGCGAGCGAGCGAGCGAGCCAATCGTTCACCTTTGATGGACCGATACGGCGAACCGCGGAGAGAGAAACTGATATTGTTCTAGTTCAGGGGTCGGCAAACTGCGGCTGGCGAGCCGCAAGCTGAGGCTTCGGTTACGGGCGTGCAGCTTTCGAGCAAAATTGAAAATCAGCGGAAAAGTTTTCCTGTAAATTCGGGGGTCGGAGCGTTTGGACATTGGAAGCTTGGGGAATTGGGAACTCGAGAAGTTGATGATTCAGATGATTGAAGAACCGAAAGACTGAGAAGTTGAGGAAATTAAAGATTGGGTAATTGGAAAATTGAAATATTGAATATTGATGAATTGAAAAGTTGAAAGATTAAAAATTGAAAAAATTGAAATAATTGGAAGATTTAAAGATTGAAAATTGGAAAATTAATAAATTAGAAGTTTGAGAAATTGCCTTATACGTGTTTCCTTTTTATATCAAAATGTGTTAATCAATTATTCACTTTAAACGAAAATAATCAGTAATCAAAGCGACTGAAATTCTGGTACCAAGTACACATTAATCGCTTGAAGCAATCAGGAGAGCCAACGATAAACGCAGAAAATTGCTAGGGTTCAGTAGAATTATGCGGTACGACCTTCACGTGACCTTGAGCACCAAGAATTCCATGAAACGTTGGAATAATGGTATCAGCAGCAGAGAGACGAGTAGATCTCAACAATATCCACGAGGAATGTGACCTTTAATTCGGCCGATTGCTAATCTCCTAGCAGGGAACTTGATTTAACACTCACCGAGCATGATCCAGATCTCTCTTGTTGCCAAGCAGCAGGGCGGTGAAATAGGATGGTAGACGTAAATCAGCAAGCTGCTTGAGCAGTCCCCGGGCTTCCTGAAAGCTTCGTTTACACGTCACGCTGTAAACGACCACGAAAGCCTCGCCCCACCGGATGTGAGAGTAAAGACAACCATTTTCCTGAAACAACAACCGTTGAACACAATTTAATTTTATTGACCGACTGCGGATTGACATACTCCAATTGCTGTTGCAAATACACTTTTCACAAATATATAATTTTTCTTTATACTTTTGTTAATTGAAACTTGCGATGCATCGTAACATAACGCGCTTTTTTTGTTTAACATATATTTGTATGAAATATGAGGCATAATGCGTGAAACTAGTGTAAATATTTTTATAAATGATTGTACTAACATTTTATCAAAATTTAGTAAAAGTTTCTATAATTTTGTATAAAATCGATAGTTATGTTTTATTGCATGATTGTATATTAATAATTAGAAGAGCAGTCATTTAGATAAGAAGTAATTGAAATAACGAAAGCCTTAAATATCTACCATGTACACTAAGGTGTCACTCAGCATGACTCATTCGAGAAAAAATATTGAGTACATTTTCAGCAGTAATCATTTTCGTTAAAAATAACTTATAACGGCATAAAATGTATTTAAGTTCTCTAAAGTGCCGTTATTCACTACGGTGCACTGAAAATTTTATGTAAAATATTGAGCACATTTTCAACTGCAACAATTTTTGTCAAAGGTAATTTATAGCGGCATAAAATGTATTAAAATTCTCTAAGGTGCCATTATTCACCGCAGTCCATGGAAAATTCCATGCAGAAATATTCAATATGTTTTCGATCATAACAATTTTTGTAAAATTTAATTTATGGCTACATAAAATTTATTCAAATTCTTGGGGATGCCGTTATTCGATGAATAATATACTTGGTAAAGTAATAAAATTAAGTTACGGCATATCTATAAGAATAATTATATATAGAAATTATTTAATTATATATAAATCATGAACATGGTAAAATTCACGGGAATTAATTTGCAGCTGACATTAATTCTTCATATATTTTAATCAATGAGACTTTCCTACTTTTATTAATCAACCATTGCAAATATATTACAATGTATTATAGACATAGTAAATCTATAGAAAATTATGAAATAATAAACAATTTGTATTACAAATCTACAAACAATATCCACTAACAAAAAGTTCTAATTAAATTTCTTCAAATAAATTTAAATCTTTTAAAACAGCAGAAATTTATTTCATCTAGTCTCAAAGTATTAAAATACTAAAAAGAATTTCAATAATATCCCAAGTAGGTAAATTAAGAATCCAATAATGGATTCTATAAAATTTCAATAGATTAATAAACATTAAATCATTATCTCCTGAAAAATTTCTAAAACCCTCCAACAGTCAAACATTCTCAATGTCAAATTCCCAAACTCCACTAAAAAGAAAAAAAGAATATTGACCAAAAATGACCCCTAAAATTTACTTCACCAAAAAAACTGAATATTCCCATTTAACAAATTCCCAACTCAAAACACTGTGACCCCCTAATCACATCCCAAACGAAACAAAAACCTTCGAGCACAAAAAAGCAACATCTCTGAAAATAGAAAGTAACTAATTCCACTA